GGAACCGGTCTGTATGTGGGATCCGAACCCTCGGCGGGAGCGCCACCGCGCTCCCAAGCAGCGCACTGTAGCAGTGCGCCACCGGGCCGGCCCTGAATTAACTTTTTATTGAAGTATCATATATAAGAATATACAGAAAAGTATGCTCAATGAATTTTTACAAACTGAACACACCCAAATAACTACAACTCAGATCAAGAAACAGGAAGTCACCAGGCACTCCAGAGGTTCTCATCATGTTCCCTTGCACCTTCTTCACCCCCACAAGGGGAACTACTGTCCTGACTTCTGATAACACAGCAAATTGCTAAGCTCTTTATTTTTGCTGTCTTCTTATTACTTTTCTGTCAATGAGATTGTTTTTCATTGAGATTGTTTTTCATTGAGATTGTTTTTCACTGAAGAATTTGGTCTTCAACTTAACAACTAGCTTGTAATTTGGTCTTATATTTTTTTAATAGATAAATGATCCAGCACTGAGACACACAGGCCTCTACTGCAACCAGCTCTCATCCACTGACCTTCTCAAAACAGAAGCAGATGGAACCCAGGTCAGTAAGAAAATTCTAAGCCCAGAGCTGTCAGATGTACTCTAGGTACACAGAGGACATTGTATAGCATCATGGTTAAGAGCTTGACCTTGGGCATCAGACCTGGGTGTGAGTCCTGGCTCTACTCTTCTTAGCTGTGTCATCGTGGGCATGTTTCACAACTTTCCTGAGCTACTGTGTAACCACAGAACTAATAGGATACCTGCTTATAGGATTGTTGAGAGGGTTAAATGAGATAAGCTTTCAGAAGGTATAATTCCATGCTTAGATAGGATAAAGGGATCATAAATGGTGGCTGCTCATTGTTATTTTGCAGGTAAACACAGTGCTACTAAAACTCATCTATAATCAGAACACCTTAGAAGATCTCAGTTCAAACAAAACATAGTGCCTTCTGTGTACTCCGCCTCCAAAACAACACAAACATCAAGGATGGCCACTTTCTTATATAACCTATATTTAGAAATTTTGGAGGCTTTAGTTCACTTTGGTAACTTTACTTTAGTCTTTGGTCTCTTAACAAACATTCTTTTTAACACAGGCAATATGCTACAGATGAAGATAGAAAGACAAGTAAGATGTGTGCCTTGCCTTAGGTGAACTGTGGGGAGAAGTGAGAATGTGAAGTGTCATTTGTGAAATGCCTACGATCTGCCAGGCACTGTGCTATGCACTGTATGCTTTATCTCATTTAAGCCTCACTATAACCCTATGAAAGAAGTAGTAGTCCTTTTCTTCACAGATAAAGGAACTGAACCCACGGAGGTTTAACTACATGTGCCATTCACAAAGCTAGAAAGAAGAAGAGCTGAGGGTCAAACCCAGGTCTTTTTAATACCTAAGTCCATGCTGTTTCTGCCATACCACCTAGGGCCTGTTGAAAGATAAAGCATATAGACTTATGCACATCAATTGTCACATAGCCAAAGGTGGCAAACTATCAAGATTCATGTTACAAGTAACAGGAGCCATAAACATTCAAAGAAAGAAGAAATTGCTGAAATGGTCAGGAGAGTGTATACACAAGAAATTGGACTGAACTGGGCCTTGAAGGACAGTTATCAAGGCAAAGTGAAGGAGAAAGGTATAATAGTTGTTGGAGGCGAGTGCACGGGGTGGATTTGAAGGTAGAGGACACAGAGGCAGGGAAATAGTAATATCCTAGCTTAGTCCTGGGAAACCAAGTCCACTGAAGGTAAAGGGTTCATGATAAGAATTCCCAGGAATTAAAATTGGTAAAGTAGATTGGGGCAAATTTCCAGGGGCCTTGAATGCTAAACTTAAGAGATTTGGATTCAGTCCTACAGATAAAGAGTCATACCTGCTGGGGAACAATGATAAAAGTTCTCGTTTAGGCTTCATTTTGGGGCGGAGGAGGTGAAGGAAAGTACATTGGGCAGCTAGCTCAGGAGGAGAAAGATCAGTGAGGAGGCTGTGTCGATAGCCTGAGCATTAGGAAGTAGGAGCTAAGTCCTGTGAGGTAAAGATTGGGCATTTGGTGATGGGGGAGTGAAGACAGCCTTCATTCGCTAGAAGTTTTTGAAAGTCTCACACCCACAGAGAAATATATTGGGCAGCTTGACAAATTAGTTAAAGCAAAACAACCAAGTCTTAAACTACCAGAGCCCTGGGACAGTATTTGAATTGTAGTAAAAACTATGCTAGGAAAACTTCAGAGGTTGGGACTCAGCTCTCACACCATTCCTTTCACTTGGCAGATCTGAAGCTCTTTTGTGTCTTGCTTTGCCTATCTGGAGAGGTATGGCAATATAAGAAGTCCTTTGAGTCTGGTCTAAGGCACCCCCTTTTAAGTAACAGTTCAAAATGGCTGAAATGTGTTTTAGAGTTTGGCTTAATCTTTTCAATTTTGTTTAATTTCAAAAAGGGTAAATATATATATATATATATATATATTTTTTTTTTTTTTTTAAGATGCAGGATTTTCTCCCTAGTTTGTTGTACTATGGCTTCATCAAGAATGTTTTTAGGGCATATAGGGACAAAAACACCTTATGTTTTGCATACATACATACATATATATATATATATTTAATTAGTGCCTAAAAAGCACTATTATTTGTGCTCCCATGAAGTTTCAGTGGAAGACTCTTCTTTTTTTTGTATCCCGCCATTACATCATGAAATTTGCTCCATTTCTGTGTTTGCCAAACAGAATCTGGGGAGTGAGATAGGAATATAGAAACAGATGTGCAGAAAAGGACAAGAAAAAGACAAGGAGAGGAGAGCTGAGATGTGGAGGAGGCAAGATAGAGGAGAGAAGAGGAAGAGAACACAGAGAATAGAGAAGCAGGAAGGTGGATGGCAGGGGCCTTGAAGACCAAGGGAGAGAGAAGGGCCTGGGGGAAGCTCCAGAAGGAAAAGAGAAGGGATGGGAAGTTATAAAGCACAAAGGTGGGAAGAGTACACAGAGGCATCTGCAGAATAGACTCAGACAGAGTTAGTGTGGTTAGATATGTGATAAAGAGCCCAAAAAAGAAGATAACAAGGGGAGCCTATAGGGTCAAGAAGCAAAATTTGGGAAACTGGGGAAAGAGGAGGATGAATAGAGAAACAGTGCTAATCTAGAGATTTAAACTGAAAAAGCTCAACTCGGGGTCTGTCTGCCTTATGTGAGAGGGAATAGAGTGGAAATATAAATGGATTAATAGGATAAGAGACCAGGGACTAGACTGATGTGGAAATTTGATGGTTGGGGTATTGGACATTCGGCCAATGAAGGGCGATAGAAAACCACTTTTACTCAATTAGCCTAGAAAAGTTTTCAGAAGAGCTGAGAGTAATTGGCATGGATTAGTGGTAAATAACCAAAGAAATACATCACCAGTTTAAAATAATTTATGAACCTATTAAATATGAGACACAAGTTTGCCAAAAGTTTGCGACAATTAGTTAGATGCACTTAGATGCCTTAAAAGTCATCTCCATTCACAGGTCTGGAACATTCAGCACCAGTTTAAAATAATTTATGAACCTATTAAATATGAGACACAAGTTTGCCAAAAGTTTGCAACAATTAGTTAGATGCACTTAGATGCCTTAAAAGTCATCTCCATTCACAGGTCTGGAACATTCAGAAGTGTGGTATTGGCCTTAGTCAGTTCTACAAACGACTTTTTAGTAAGTGGTTGGTAAAGACTAACTTCTGGTTTTGTTTTATCAATAGAAAATGCTAGAACTATGCCACTTTAGACATTTTTAAGGGATACATGTATTCTTACTGAAAGTAATTAAAGGGAAAATTCACACTGTTCTTAGTAGATTTTCTGTTATTTTTATCTCGTGTTTAAATGGATTGTCTATCAAGAAAAAAAGTCAAATATAAAATTGTTCTGATATTTTGCTGTAATTCTAAAGCCAATATATAAAGGAGCTATGTAGTAATATATTTAGATACTACGCAAATCTTTTAGATGTTAACCTTAGTAATGCTGATGTCCTGTTTTTGAGTTGTGGTGGTTTTATTTTGCTAATACTGGGTTAAAACCTTTTATTTACCACTGACATCATAAAGATTTTTTATCCTTCTAAAGTCATCCATAGAATGCTTTTAAACCAGTTTTCCAAATAGCATGTGTTTTTTAAAACCCACCACTGGATACCCAGACTCTGAAATTAGGCTTTTCCCATTCTTGGCAATATTAGCAATGACACTCACTTTCAGTATTGATGGCAACCCTGTAGGAGGCGTGACCATTCCAATTTTGATTTTATTTTTAACGTGTGAACTTTCCAGAACCCTGAGCAAAATGAGTGCAGCGATTTTCTTTTTGTAGGACAAGAAGACAGAAGAGTTCTTCTCTGTGGTGACTACAGACTAGAGGAATGCTCTAGTGAGTTTCCACTTCAAGTAGTACCCACTCATAAGCCGGGGGGGCAGACCCTTCTGTCTAAACACATCTTTTATTTGTGTTCCAGCAGGTGCAACAGGTTCAGGTGTTTGCTGACGTCCAGTGTACAGTGAATCTGGTAGGCGGGGACCCTTACCTGAACCAGCCTGGTCCACTGGGAACTCAAAAACCCACGTCAGGACCACAGACCCCCCAGGCCCAGCAGAAGAGCCTCCTTCAGCAGCTACTGACTGAATAACCACTTTTAAAGGAATGTGAAATTTAAATAAAAGACATACAGAGATATACAAATATATTATATATTTTTCTGAGATTTTTGATATCTCAATCTGCAGCCATTCTTCAGGTCGTAGCATTTGGAGCAAAAAAAAAAAAAAGAAAAAAAAAGGAGTTCACTTTTGTTGAGAGATTGAGAGATGTTTTTGTTTCTTTGTAAAGGCCTTGGATATTGAAAAAATAACAAGGCAGAACAGTTGGACAATCCATTTCTTGAGCCAAATTTAATTATTCTTATTTTTGTAATCAGTCATTGGCTTCTTATCTGGATGAAGGCTTTTAGAGGAGAACCAAAATGACAAGTTCCACGGGGAAGATGAAGCTCCACCTCTACCAGCTCAGTCCCGACCCTGCCCAGAAAGAAGGGCCTGTGGGGCTTTGCCTGTGCCCGTCCACCCAAGGCTGTCATGTTTCTTGAAATCAGCAGCCCTCCCCTGTCCCTACCCCAGGCAGCTTGTGTGTACAATCAGCTTCTTCTAGCAACTCTATATCTGTTGGCTTCAAGAGAATATTTTGCCTCCACATGTGTACCCCTTCTCCTTTTTTTAAAGATGGATTTAAACCAAGATGCCTCCAGGAAAGAGGATGAAAGTAGTATATTCATAGAGGAATCCAAAAAATACAGTTTGGGGGAAAATGCAATAATTTTTGATGAGATGGGTGAACGACAAGAAGTAAGTTCTGTCAATTATTGTAGATACAATTTTCTGATTAAATCTGGAAAAAGGCAGCCTGTTCTATCTGCTTTTATTGTTTTAACAGCTGAGGTAGCTAAAGTTATTTAAAATAAAATTAAATTTATGATCCAAGTAGTTAATATTTCCCTTTAAATCTCACTGTAAATGTATTTGATTTCTTGTAGAAATTGATTTCCTTCTGTTTAATTTTATGTTTTTCTTATACTTTTGATTTTTCTAAATTTGTGTGTGAAATATAACATTGATTGAATTGCAGTTACATTTGGCTAGTAATATTTCATTATTTTAATAACTGTGACACCATGTATGAATTTACTTTGGGGTTCAAATCAAAATGCCACTGCCAGAAAGGGCTGTTCCAGCTGAGCTAGAGCATACTGCCCTAGAGTAACCCTAGGATCATCTAACCAGAAGTGCACAGCTACTTATACAGAGAAAATTAGTATTCAAGGAAAATCTTCATTTTTAGATTGACTTTGGGAATTTGAATTTTCATCAGTGCAAATACAAATTTCTCTATCCTGCTCTGAAGCTAATTGGTACCATATTTTCCCTTTGTGTCTTGTCACTCTGCCACATCCCATCTCATCCTGGCCTCTGAGTCAAGGACCCAGTGAACTGACTTTCTAGTTCTAGAAGCTCCTCTGCAAGGCCAGGAAAGCATGAGAAAGGTATTGTGGAAGAAGCAAAGGTAGACCCCCATCACTCACCTGTATCTGCATCCCTGGGCCTGTGAAGGATGACAGCGTCTGACATTCTGCACCAGCTGCCTCTGCTTCCACGGCAGAGAAAAGGCCATAAAAACTAAGTTGAAGAGGAGCATGGACTCTGACTTCAAGGAAGAAGCTGTTTTCCCAGGTCCTTCTTTCTGCATCTCACCACCCCTAGTTACAAATAACTCCATTGAACAGCATCTATTCAGAAACTATACTGAATAAAAAGATTGGTGGAAGGGCCCATGTGGGTACAACTATGAAACAGAAATAGGACACTCAGTTACAAACATTATCTCTTTTAGTTTTTCAGAACTTGCACATAACTCCATTGAACAGCATCTATTCAGAAACTATACTGAATAAAAAGATTGGTGGAAGGGCTCATGTGGGTACAACTATGAAACAGAAATAGGACACTCAGTTACAAACATTATCTCTTTTAGTTTTTCAGAACTTGCATATATTAGATTTCTTGGATCAGATATTGGAAGCACTCAGTTTTCTCTAGCTCTTGATCCTTCTGAAGACAGACAATCTCTGCTGTACGCCGTGATTTCATTCATTTCCAGCTTGAAAGCCCAGCCATATTACTCTAGTCCCTACCAAACTGCTCTAGGAAGTCATTTCCATTTTGTTTGTGATGTTTAGATGTGCAGACTTCAGGAAGTTCACCTTTAACTTCAGCATTCCAGATGAAGTTTCCTGACTCAGTGCTTTTGCATAAGGAACTAGAAAAAAAAAGTGGTAAGGAAAATTGGAGATGCTAACATGCTCCCCCATCCTAACTGCACCTTAAAGTATGCATGTCACCTTCAAGGTTTTATAATTGCACTGTTTGTTTTATGTATGTACAGATTAATATTATTGCTACATTTGAGGAAAATAAAATTGCTTGCTTCTATGTAATTCCTGTTATTCCACAGGAAATTCACTTTTCCAGCTACTGAATAGAATTTGTTTAACAACCTCATGGGTTGTCTCTTCATTTACAGGGAAGAAATGAAACCTACATTCTTCGGGAATTGCCAAAGCCCAAAATGACTAATGATAATTAAAGGATAATAAAAGAAAGGATCCCTCAAGCCAGAGATTCTCAAAGTCACCCTAATATGAGCCAGCCCAGTGAAATCTGAAAAGGTTAAATTGAAGTTGTGATAGTGTGCCTTGAGGAAATTCTAACTTTGGCCATTTATCTGCTGATTAAACAGTTTATTGACCCAGGAGATCTAGTCCAGGCAGCACTTCATAGCCACAAGATATCATATCTCTCTCAATTATTGTTTTTTTAATAACATTTACTGATACAGATGTTGAATCTTAATGGAGGAGGCTCCTTCAATGTGACAATGTATTTTATAAAAATTAGACCATTTCCTGTTTGTGCGTGTTTCAAGGCAGCCTAAATCTACCAACACCTAGCTAAAATAGGGCCAGGGTAAGGGGGATAAGCAAATGTGATTCCAGAGGGCAGGGGAGGGTGTATTTCCCACACACATTTCTGCACATGAATATGCACAGATTTGGTAGCTGTTGTCTGAACTTATGGGGGAGTGAAATCTTTTTTCCCGTAGTAGTTGTCTGCTTACAAAGCCAGTTGTGCTTATTTCCTTGTTGACATTAACTGCTGTTCCCAGAAGAGCAGCTCTACTTGAATAAAGTGAATAATTCAGCAAGCTTGATCCTTGACCATTCCTGTACCTCTCAAGATCTTGATGATTTAATTAACCCCATAAATCCTTTTTATTGGAGAAAACTGCCAAAGGAAGCATTCCTCCATGCAGAACCCTTTCTGCCAGCACTAAATTAGTTTTCTTTGTATATTTTAATATATTTTATTTTCATTGGAACCAGAACTCTTAACAAGATTGAAGAAACACAAAGCTCTGTCCTTTATTCATTCAGCACATTTTTTTGTCTTTTTCCAAGGTACTAGGGATGCTTAAGGATCCAGACAGACATGGACCCTGCCCTCCTGGAGCTTATATTCACATGAGGGGACCTAGATTGTCCTCTCCACAATTGGACTATCCGGTACAAAGGAGTGTTCTGATTTGCTTTGTGAATGAGGCCTTGCCTGGAGGGTCAAGGCAAATTTCCTTGAGGAAGAAATGGCTTTTGAAGTGAGGTTTGCAAGGTGATGAGGAAGCAGCTCAGTGGAGAGCAGAGTGAGATTTCTGGGGAACCAGACATGGCTAGGCCTGGAGACAAGGAGCCACAGAGAGCCGGTTTTTAAAATGCTAACCAGTGTTCTTGAGCTCTTATAAGCATGTTATTAGAATTATGTCAGCTGATGGGCTGGAAAGTAAGTCAGCCTTTGGCTCCAGGAGGAACATACACTAGTCTTTGGGATCCTCATTTGGAAATTGTACCAGCTTATATCTAATATCTCTTCCATAACTAGCCCTATCCCAACACATACATGCTTTTACATCTTCTACACAATACTCTGTAGCTGATGACAATGTTAAAAACACCAGATAAACTTGTATTATAATAATTCCGGAAGTGCTTTTAGGTACATGATCTCATTTAATCCTCTGCAGTTCTTTGAGGGAGTTGTAAAGAGAAAGCAAGCTCTATAAGGTTATGACACAAACACTACTATTTGTCAGTGGAGTTGGGATTTGAAACCAAGTCTCCTAATTGCAAATTCTGGATTCACTCTTCTGGTCTATGACTTAGGACTGATTTGGAGTCTGCATATTTTATTCTCATTGTGTGACCTTAACCAATGCTTTCTTACATGAAATAACTTTAAAAAACAGGCCTCAAAAAGAGGGTAAGAACTTAAAAGTTGAGAATAGAGAATGCAGCCCCTTCTGTGGAGGCAGTCAGAGCCTGTCCTTTGGATGCCTCAAGTAAATGGGAGTGATCTTGGGCACATGGTCAGTAGGGTATCCCACGACAGTTTGGGAGAGGCATTCCCTCCCTGCATATCTAAACAGGGAATGATGAAGGGGCTCTGTGAGCCACAGTGTTAGCCCCTGAGCTTAAAAGAATTTTGGAAAATGTGAGTTCCTTGTGGGTCAGGTGTAAGAATTCCTCTGGCAGAGGATCCTTTTTGTGAGGCAGAGGAATTATAAGATATTAGATTTCTTGGATCAGATATTGGAAGCACTCAGTTTTCTCTAGCTCTTGATCCTTCTGAAGACAGACAATCTCCTGTGCTGTGGAGTTTGGCTCTGGTCTAATCATTTGTGCTTGTCTCAGAACTGAGGTAATTTGTATAACCAGCAGAAGCAAGCAATGCCCACATCTACTCATAGCAGACCTGAGACATTGGCTTGCGAAAAGAATTAAAATACTAAAAGGAATAATTTCTATTCCATCACATATTCCAGTGCCTAGTCCATTCCAGTCCCCTAGTCCAGGGGTCCCAAGGTACAGAATAAAACAAAAACCCTAGGTAGGCCACGGTTTTGGTATTTATTACACTTTTGATGAGCTGTTGCAATATAGACACTGATAGGCAGAGATACAGAGGTACAGAGATACTTGCCTGCAGTTGCTTCTTCCCTAACAATGGAGATTCCACAGCAGTTAAGAAATTGCCAGGTAATGTAGTAGGCTAATACCCACTGTTGTGCTAACAATTTCTTACATTTGTAAACAGCACTTTCCCATACATTTTGATCTGCAAAATTATATAAGGCAATTCAAGTAGGCACTTTGCAGATGGTGAAATTGAAGCTCAGATTTATGGTCACGTGCTAGGAAGTGCTAGAACCAAGAGTCAGTCTTTGGGGTTTGGAATGAAACCTGCCATTATTTCCGTTGCACAGTACAACTATTAGGGATAAAAGCACATTTAGACAATGACATATAAAGACTGTGGGAATCCTGATGAGTTAAAAATAATTCTCTGGAACTCATGTTTCTTAGACACATGTAGGGGTTTCCACTTTGAAAATAAAACTGGGCACCAATTTTGAATTTAAGTGTTTTTAATTTGTGTGAGGGTATATTTCTCAAACAGGCTCCTATATTCTCCCTGAACAATTTCATCTTTTCCTTTTAATCTCAGTAGCACTTACAGGTATATGCACCTTAAGTCCACTCTTCTAGCCAAGATTTCTGCCAAGATACAGTCCTGGATTTCCAACTGGTGAACATTACCACATGAACCCCACCCCCAGTACCTCAAACTTCAGTCCCAAACCAAATAACTTCCCCACAAATACATTCTTGTGTCCCTTATTTGTTCTTGTGACCTGAATTCATTGTATTATCATTCTGTTAGTGGTCATTTTCAACAACTTCCTCTCATTTCACCAAATTGCAAAAAGTTATCCTTTGTAGTGCCTCATAGCAATCTTTTCCTTTCTAGCCCTATTAATCACTGACCAAATTTAGGACTTAATTGTCTTTATTTGGATGATTACAATATCCACTTTCATGCCTTTTACATTCATCCTTCACACAGTCATCAGAGAAATCTTTCTAAACACAGCTTTCAGAATCTGTTAGTGACTACTTCTTGCCTAGAGCTGATCTGAAATCAACCTAACTTTTGAGCTTCATCACCTCTACACCCTCTTTAAACAAAATGGTTCTGCCACAGATCTGGTCTTTATTCTTGAATTTACTATGTTCTCACTTTCATTGCCATACTGTCTCTTCCCTCAGCTGGTCATGCTCTCTCCTTCCTACTCATCCTTAAAGGCTTCAGTTTAGCTGCCCTTTGCAAGAAGCCCTCCCTGGTCCCCACAT